CGAGCCTTCCTTAGGGTGTCGGGGATCCCAGCGTGTCTCCGAGCCTTCCTTAGAGAATCAGTGTTTTATCTCAGGTTGAGGAAGTTCCTTTGTGTTGACACCTTGGGTGGGTTGGCTTGCTGTAAGGACAAGTTGGCACTGAACTGTGTCACACATTAGCTCCGCATCAAGTGAAAGCTATGATTTTTTTCTTCTTTTTAGCTGATTAATACCGTGGATCACATTGATAAACTTTTGCCTATTAAGGCAGTCATGGGTCCCTGGGTCATGCTGTGTTACTCATTTTTTTTCATATTGCCGAAGGGTATTTGTTCACACTTTAAGGGTTTTTGCATCTGTACTCCTGAGGCTATTTTTCTATCATTTTTTGTCTTTGTAATATTTCTTATCAGTTTTGATATTAGAGTAATACTTGCTTCACACAAGGAATTGAGATTTGCTCTTTTCTAATTTAATATTTGGAAAGGATTGTGCAGAACTGGAACTGAGTTTTTAAACATTCACGATTTCTCCAGTGAAGCCATCTAGGCCTGGAGATTTCTGTTTTGGGAAATTTGAAATTATATATTCAATTTCCTTGTAGGTTGTGGGCCAACTTAAATGAGCTATTTCATAATGACTGAGCTGTAGTAGTTGGTTTATTTTGAGGAACCAGGGAGTTCCTCCAAGGTGATATATTTATGTGTTATAGGGGTATGTAGATTTCCCCTTATTTCCTTTGGGCTCTGTGGTGTCTACAGTGTTATCCTCTTTTTAATAATTAATAATTCATATATTCTCTCTCTTTGCTTTTCTTCATCGGTCTTGATAGGAGTCTGCCCATTGAGTTGGGTGTATTAAAAGAATGATCTCCTTCTCACTTAGATGGCTTATTGCTTTTTTTGTGTGTGTGTTTCAATAAAATATTATTCTTTTCTTTACTATATTTTTTTAATTTAAAAAATGTATTTTTCCTCTTCTGAGTTCTTTTTTTGTTTGTTTGTTTGTTTTTTTAAATATTTCTTATAGTTTATTTTACTTTATTTTATGTGCATTGGTATGAAGGTGTCAGATCCCCTGGAACTGGATCTTCAGACAGTTGTGAGCTGCCATGTGAGTGCTGGGAATTGAACCCAGGTCCTCTGGAAGAGCAGTCAGTGCTCTTAAACGCTGAGTCATCTCTCCAGCCCCCTCTTCTGAGTTCTTGAGCATGGCTTTTAAATTATTCTATACCCTTGTTTTTCCCCCTTTCTTCCTAACCTCTGTTATGTAGTCTGATTATACTAATACATAGGATATAGTTAGACTTAAAATAGACATTTTATTGTCTGTTGCTCATGTTTCATATTATATTTGCTTCTCTACCCTCCAGTTTTTGTTTGTCAAATATTTTAGGCTATTATTTTAAAAACTATTTTAGTTTGTACATTTGTGTGCATGAGCGTGTGTGTGTGTGTGTGTGTGTTAACTTGTATGTGGAGGCCAGAGGACAATCTGTGGGAGTCTGTTTTCTCTTTCCACCTTTTGGGTCCTGGATATTGAGCTCCGGTCATCAGGCTGAGAGACAAGTACCTTTACCCCTGTCTAGTATTCTGTCGCTCAACACCATGACCAAAAACGGATTTGGGACAAAAGGCTTTATTTGACTTCTACTTCCAGGTAACAGTTCATCATTGAGGTCAGGAACTCAAGCAGGCGCTCAAAGCAGAAACCATGAAAAGCAGTTTGTTGCCCTGCTCGCTGGCTCAGGCTCAGCTAGCTTTCTTAGAACCACGGGGCCACCTGACTGGGAGCAGCGCTGCCCACAGTGGATTGGGCTCTCCTGCATCAGTTCATAATCAAGCTAACCCTTCACAGACGTGCCCACAGGCCAATTTAATCTAGGCAATACCTCAACTTTCATCTCAGGCTTTCATCTTAGGCGGCTCTAAGCTGCCAAGTTGAAGCTAGGAAAAACCCTAAATTCATCAAGCATGGTTTGCGTTAGTTCTTTGAACAGTAGGCCGATCATTTCTTTGATGTCCTAAACTCTTAAATCCAATGCCCGGAACCATCATAGATTGTTTTTATTGCCTGCTGACTTTCTCTTTCCTGCTGCTCCTCCTGTTTTATAATCTTTATTGCCAGTTGGATAATTCTGATAGTGTTAGTGATACTGGAGATAAGAGGGTTATCTCCAGTGGGGCTCAGTTCTTGAGTCCTGCTACAAAGAATTCACCAGAGATGGTTAGATAGTAGCAAGCAAAGAAAGAGAATTTAAAGAAAGATGAGCTTCCGAAGGAGAAGGCAGGCTAGAGCTACGCTTTTCTGTGTATAATTTGTCTGCTGCGTGTAGTCCTACATAGAATTTCATGTGGTGTGTGTTATATTGTATTGTATATGTATGTGTGTACATGTATATATGTATATACACCCACCATTTGGGGTGAGATTTAGTAGCAGTGCGAGCCCTGGATTGTCTTTGGAGACTCTGGAGGCCTCTGCACTGCGCTTGTGTTGGTGGCGTGAACCACTTCGGGTCTGCCTCAGCTGCGGAGTCCAGCATTCCTCTTTGCCAGAGCGCTCTTTCCACGTCAGTTTTGTAAGGCTGTGCAGGAGGCCTTCTGGGTTTTGCTCTCTGCCCTATTCACCTGCCTCATAAGCATTCTGAATTCTGACTGCAGTCTCCCTGCCCCAACGCCTTGTCATTGTTGTTGTGTTTGTTTAGTTAAGAACTCAGCGTAAATCTGGGTTTGTCCCGTGGTGTGTGGGAACGAGCAGTTCTGCGATATCTATCAGCGATTTTCTTTTCTTTTTAAGGCTGACTTTCTAGGAGTCGCCCTATCTATTGGTCAGTGCTTACTAAATGGTGAGCTCAAATGCAAAGGTCCAGAAAGGCTTTTCCTTCTACTGACAGACCTGTGTGTAATTAGGTAATGTGGCCAAAGTTCAAGCTCGTCTCAATTGTCCCAGTTTCTATGGCTTCTCATATCTCTCACGTCACTAGGCGGGAATGTGTGGGCGGCTCAGGCCGTCTCTGGTGTCTGCTCACAGATCTGCGGTGTTTGGTCAGGACAGTATCAAGCCCACATGGCCTCATTTCCTTCTCGATCTCTCCGCCAAGGCCTTTGCTAATCTCCACGTGGCTCATTCCAGTTGGGACCATACCCTCAGTCTGCCCAGATGACTTTAGGGTTTTCCCTTTTACTTAAAACACAGCTTTTCTGCTTTCTCCATGTCAGCCCCGCCTCCTCTGTCCTGCATTCACAGAACTGTCACACCGACGGCTTTGGAAATGTTTGTGCCCCTTTCATATTAGGACATAACGTTGACAGAAAGTAAGCGATTTTTAAGTTTCGCTTTGAATGTGTTTTCTAAGCTATTTCAAGTGGAAGTAAACAGAAATCTAATCTTTTTTTCATTTCAGATCTCGAGTTCCACCTATAAGGACAGGAATGAGGAGTACAAACAGCAGTTCACACACCTGCCCGACTCCGAGAAACTGATAGCAGGTACTCAGAGCCCCCCAGACACGGAAAAGCGCAACAAACGACAATACGGGGAGACAGTTAGGGCTTCGTGCAGGAGGGACTGCCTTAAGGAAATGATGTCCCACCATTACTTACAGTTTTGTAAGGAAAGCCGCATCCTGTTTGACAGACAAGCTTAAGCCAAGTCTAGGTAGGGGAACAGTGACTTCTGACCTCTGAGATACTATGTTCGAAGAAGTGTGCCCTTATGGTTTCTCCTGGTACTTCCATATATGACTTTGTAAGGAAGATTAGATTTGATACTCATCATATAGTAACTCTGCTGAGAAAACTATACTCTTCAACAAGTGTACTGACAGAGCGATTTAATAAGAATATTCTAGGAATCCACTTAGAAATAAGCTATTATTCATGTTATGGTTCATGTTGAGTTTGTGTGTAGTAGGCTTCGGGGTAGCAAATCTAGTCATTACCATTACAGAAATGCTTTATTGTGTGTATTTGTGTATGTACATACAAATATGTAAGTACACTGGCATATAGCTGTACATGTGTGTGGAAGCCAGGGGCCAATGTTGAATGTCTTCAAATCAATTCACCCTGTGTTTTGAGACTGGGTCTGTTATTGAACCTGAAGCTCACCAGTTGATTACATTCCTTCTGTCTTCTTCCCCGTTGCTGAGATCCCAAGTACATCACCATACTCAACTTCAAATCTTACAAATTGAACTTAACTTTATTATTTTTGTGTGTATAGGCATTTGCCTGCATGTGTATCTTGTGCTCTGTGTGTGTGTGTGTGTGTGCCTTCTGAGGACAAAAGAGGGCATTGTATCCCTTAGAACTGGAGTTACAGGTGTGAGTCACCATGTAGGTGCTAGGGATCAAACCTGGGTCCTCAGGAAGAGTATCCAGTGCTCTTAACCCCAGAGCCATTGCTACAGGCCCCACATCCAGATTCGTATGACTTCTGGGGAATGAAATCAGGTCTGATGTACCTAGGTTGGTCTCAGACTCAGTAGGTATCTGAGCATGATTTTGAATGCCACACCTTCCAAGTGCTGTGATCACAGACAATTGTCACCACACCCAGCAGAAGAAATATATTCTTATGATAAAAAATTTAAATATGAAATTGATGGGAAAGTGGTGGTAGGGTATGAAAGGGTTTAGAGGGAACAGAGAGATAGTTAGCTCTTCATTATAATGGAATGTTAATTGTTAATTGTTAAAGACAATTATAACTCTTTTGCTGTGTTTCCAATGTTACTTGCTAGCCTCCCACTTAAAACCAAATGCTTTTCATAGAAATAGTTCTAAAATGTATCCTTTTCACTCTGACCTTGCTTTATTTTGTTGAGGCATAGTGTTGCTATGTACTCCTAGTTGGCTTGGAATGGCTGGCCTTAAACTTGGAGCTATCCTCCTGCCTCTGCCTTCCAAGTACTAGGATTATAGGTGTGTTACCACCATGCATGGTGATTTGTACTTTTTTGAAAGATATTAATTTCATTATGTAGTGAAAAATACTCATTGTCAAGCTGGAAAGCCACCTAGGAAAATGCAGAGAAAGAGTGACCTTTCTATCTGTATAATTTGTCTACTAGTGTTTTGTCTTTTATACATTTTTTTCAGTTTGTGTGTTTATTTTTAACACACATTTTTTTCTGACTGGTACAATAAACATGTTTACTGTAGATATTTCAGAAACTGATACAAAGGGGAGAGTGGCTGACCCGGGAACTTTTGTGGGGTTAGGATGGTTCTCTATGGAGTTTGGGTGGTGGTTACTTGAGTGTTCATGGGTCACATGGCATCAGGGTGGTGGTTACATGAATTTCCTGGGCCACATCTTTGTTGAGGAACTTGGTTGCTTAACATTTTTAATAATAATCAATGAATCAGGAACATGCCAGGATAGAATGCTAATCATGACGATGTAACTGTGTCTTAAATGAGTGCAATGATTCCATCAAGAGTGGGTTGGCATATGTAATTGCTTGTTGTGTGATGTTTTACTCTTTTAGCTTTTTGGGGGGCCTACAACCCAGCTCCCAAAGAAATCACATGGAGGCTTATTCTTAGTTATAAACATCTGGCCTTAGCTTGGCTTGTTTCTTGCCAGCTTTTCTTAACTTGTAGTATCCCCTCTGCCTTTTGCCTCTGAGTTTTTCCCATTTTCTTACTTCTGTAAATCTCACTCTTACTCCATGGATTGTGTAGCTGAACCTCCTTGTTTCTCCTTCTATGTATACTTTGCCTGCTAGCCCCACCTACCCTTGCTCGTGCCTCCCTATTGGCCATTCAGGTCTTCACAGAATTAAACAAAAGCAGCAGAAACAAAACAACACACCTTAAAATAATATTCCCCAACAGTTGCCCTTTGATAGGTCAGGAAATTGGATCCACGAAGTCTACTTTCAAAGTCCATGGCTACTCAATCCTTGCATAAAATAGTACAGCGTTTCCATGAAACCCAAGCACATTCCTTTGCGTGTTAAATCACCTCTGGATAGCTACTAGTGCCTCACACAATGTAAATAATATGTAAATGGTGTTGTGTGTAGTTTTTAGGGAATAGTAGCCTGAAAAATTTTATACGTGTTTAGTACAGGTGTAGTTCTTTTTAAGGTAAGAAACATTTAAACTTCCCTTTGTGATTTAATCTGAGGAGTTAGAACCCATGGCTTTGGAGGCGTGACTCCAGCTGTCGACTCCCTATCTCTGTCTGCTGAGACTCTAGCAGCAAGGAATGTGTCTAGAATCCATGTCTGGGTTTCCTAAGCACCACTCTTCCTGAAGAAACTGCTGGAGCAGTGTGGTGGTTTGAATAAGTATGGTCCCCATAGACTTAAGTGTTTGAATACTTGGCCCATAGGTACTGACACTATTAGGAGGTGAGCCTTGTTAGAGTAGGTGTGGTCTTGTTGGAGGAAGTGTGTTGGGGGTGGGCTTTGAGGTTTCACATGCTCAAGCTCCACCCAGTACACGGACTCCTGCTGTCTTCTCATCCAGATGTAGGACCCTTAGCTCCTTCTCCAGCCCCGTGTCAGTCTGCGTGCTGCCATGCGTCTCTCCATGATGATAATGTAACCTCTGAAACTGTACGCCAGCCCCAATTAAGTGGTTTCCTTTAGGAGAGTTGCCATGGTCATAGTGTCTCTTCACAGCAATAGAAACCCTGAGACAAACAGTAACGACTCAAGACCAGTGAGGATGAAGCGTGTTATTGTTACAGTACCAACAGTGGGTTAAGAAAATGAAAACAGGCAACAACTTGAAACATTTGCTAATGTTCAAAGTTAGAATATCTTCAGCAATAAAATAACAATGATTTGGGCTAAAACCCTGAAGAATCAAATAAATATCCATGAGTCCATATTGCTATGAATAAATGCTTGAATAATTAAACAGTTATGGAGGAGCAACAATCTTCCAGAATCCCAAGCATATTTAGATAATTTCTATGCTCGCTAAAAATTTAAGTTTCAGAAGTTTAGGGGCTGGAGGGATGGCTCTGTTGGTGAAGTGTTTGCTGAATAAGTGTAAGGACCTGAGTCTGAAACCTAGAACCCGTATAAAAGCCATATGTGGTGATTGCTCTCTCTTCTGTGGCCCCAGCAAGGGGGGGGCAGGGACAGGCAAAGCAGTGAAGCTCATGGCCAGTTTTCCTAGATCAATCGATGAACCCCAGGTTCAATGAGAGACCCTATCTCAAAAAGTGAAACAGCTCAGCATTTAAGAGCTCTGGCTGCTCTTTCAGAGGACCCAGGGTTCAACTCTCAGTACCCACAGAGCTGCTCACAACTGTAACTCCAGCTCCAGGGGATCTGACCCCCTCCTACAGACATGCATGCAGGTAAAACACCAATGGACATACAGTAAAAATAAAGAAAATACAGGGGCTGAAACTTAGTCGTTTGGGTTTGGTAAAAGTCATTAGTGACTGAAGGAAGAGGCGGCAGCAGCAGTGGCAGCAGCTATGATCTAGGGAGCCGAGTCGTATCTAAAGTTACGGTCTACTCAGCTCTTACTCTCCATTCTTATGCCAGAAGAGAGTTTTTGGAAATATTTTAACTGACCCCTGAGTATTGATAAAACTAACTTAGCCAACATTATTCCCTGCCTAGCATCTAATACTGATGGGTAAAGTACTAGCATCACCGATGAGAACATTCCAGATGCGTACATGCTAATCAACCAACATTTGGTGTTGGACCCTGGTAACCCTATTTTAAGGGCTTATGACCCCCTTTGATAGATGTAGTCCTTGTTTAGATTGTTAGTCTATTTATCTTAAGCATAAGTGCAAGATTACAGCTCTTCTAGCTATCCTGTAGAAGAATTTTCCCATCCAAGTACTAACTGGGTCCAGCCCTGCTTAGCTGTGCAATCAAGTGCATTTGTGGTGGCATGGCCATAAATGTTGTTGAAAATTTCCAAATGTCTGCATTAACATGATATTTTTTTTTACTCCTCATATTCATTTGAGTCTTCTCTTTTTTTTTCTCTACTAATCTTGAGCTAAGAAATCTTTATTAAAATCTATAACTACATTTGAGCCAGTAATTCAACCTGTAGGAAAATGATACTATGGGGCATATCAATACCCTCAATGCTTCCAGCTCACCATGACTATAGCTAGAGTGGGGCGGGGCTAGGGCATGGGAAAGGGAACCTTGGGCAACGGGATTAATACTGATAGTTGCCAGATGTTGTAGTGCACACCTTTAATCCTGGCACTTAGGAGGCAGAGGCTGGTGGATTTCTGTGAGTTTGAAGACAGCCTGGGATACACAGACCAAAAAAGAAAATAAAAAGAAAAAAGGAATTGAGCATGTATTGGAATTTATAGAAATCTATGTTTTATGTGTATGTGTGTTTTATCTGCATGCATGTCACCATGTGTGTGCTTAGTAACAGCAGAGGTCAGAAAATGGTTTCAAATCTGTTTAGTGTCATACTCTTTTGTTTTTTGGGAGTCCCACCACCCGGCTCCCAAATAAATCACTTACTCTTAT